CCTATATATATATATATATATTCATTTACCATTAGCATGGGGAAGGAAATGCTTTCCACTTATTTGTTAGACCTTGAGAATGAACATAACTATTAAACTCCACAGAGTAGCTACTAGCTACCTTTTAATAAATCCATTTTATTTTCCCATAAATTCTGTATTTTCCATTTAATATTTTGAGTATTCTATGTTTTATGATTTAATAGAAATTTATATAAATTTTAACAATTTAATCAAGCTTTTAAAATGTAATTTTATGATTTTATGAACATTTTAGGATACACTAATGATATTTCTGTCATAATTTCTTGAAGTTAAACAGAACCTTTATTTTGACGGTTTGTCATGAAGACCGTTTATTGCCCAGCTCTACTTCCATACTAAGTAATATACCTGAAAGAAGTCTCTTATGCTCACCAAAACTGCTTTATTATATTTTTTTTTCCAGTTTAACAAAAAATTGGAAAAACTCTGGTAACATTTTACTTGAAGAGGTGTGCATAAGACTGACGTCTGACACCTTCATAATCATGACCTGACATATGTTATATGAAGGAGGTTTTATGAATGTTTATGACTACTGTCATTAAGTGTCATTCGCTCAGTTATGGCATTTTTAATGCAAATATGACATTGTTTGAGATGTCCTTGTTATGACACTTTGACATAAACCAATACATCATAACCTGTCAGTGTCTTTGTCATGACAACTTGACATTAAGACAACACAACCTCTCATAAACATGACATAGCAGATTACTTATCAAACTTAAGAAACCACCTAGCTTTATTGGTTAACATTAAATTAAACTGTTATATGTTTGGTTTTGACATTGGCTGTCATGAAGCCATTATAACGTTTTAATGACAAATTCAAATTGTACCACTGTAGTTGAGGTCACGAAAAATATTCATGACACAGTTATAACGGCCTCATGACAGCCAATGTCAAAGTCAACCACATGACAGTTTAACTTAATTTTATGTCAAGTTGTCATGACAAAGACATCTTAAACAATGTCATATTTGCATTAAAAATGTTATTATTGAGCCGAGCGAAAGACACTTAATGACAGTTGTCCAAAACATGCATAAACTCTCCTTCATATTCAAGACATATGTCATGTCATGGTTATGAAGGTGTCGTCATGTCAGTCTTGGGCACAACCCTTCAAGTAAAGTGTTACCAAAACTCTTTTCATTTTTTATATAGTTCTATATATTTCAAATGTAATATATTCATGTGGTAAAGCCACATTTTTATACATTATTCCAGTCTTCAGTGTCACATGATCACAAACCATGATACCGTTCAAAAGTTTGAGGAAAAACATTTTTAAAAAGACTTTCTTTTGAATGTTTCATTCATCAATACTGATTCAATGTGGATAATAAGAAGAAATGTTTCAGCAGCATATTAGAATGTTTTTTGTAGGATCATGTGACACTGAAGACTGGAAGATTGGAGTGAAAATTCAGCTTTTTCTAATGCCTGGTTCAGATTACACCATTTTAGCCCAATTTTGGCACGATCCGTTTGACTTAGGGTGTCATGGGGATTCGTAAACGACAACGGGTGTCGGGACACAAGATTCGATCGTATCATCTCGTATAGTGTGTCATAATGGGCGACAACCAACGTTGCGTCTGTGATGCTTCACGACATCACAACAAATAGACAATACTAGGATGTTTAATTTCTTTAACGGTCGTCCACGACGGTTCCGTCACATGTATGAGGTTGACCACTAGGAGCACAGAAGCTTTTCCGTACACAACTTTCAAAAATCGAAATCGCAAAACGAAAGAGAAAACGATGGTGCTAACCTTAAAACTAAATGTACTGTAAAAATATATAAGAAAACAATATTTTACCTCAATTTCTCTTTGGACAATTGACAGCCCCTACTGTCCTGTTCGAGCAATCCAGGAACGTGTCCACTGTCGGGTTTTCTTTCTTTTTTACTTTTTTTCTGAACACAGGACAGCCAATACAACACTCACCGCTTCATCCATTGTTTGTTTACGTTCGTTTCCAAAAGTCACTCGCTACTAGTATTAAAGACTGCATGCGATGACTGGTCAGGAAGCAACGTTTAGTCTGACATGTGTCTTGTCCACGACATGACAAGATTTTAGGAGTCAAAATCGCGTAATCTGACATAGTGACTATCGTAACAGACAAAAAATAATCGTGTAATAATTGCAATAATTGACATATAATTACAAGTTACTGTTTTTACTGTACTTAATCAGTTCACATAGGCTATATGTATATGTGTGTGTGTGTGTGTGTATACATACATTCACTAATTACAGGACTTTGTTTGAACTGACCTACCATGTCACCACTAGACTGACATGTGGTAATCAGCTTTTCTAAAAATATCAGTAACTGTACCAAAATCCAGCCACAGACACCCGTCTGCCCCCAATATAGATGAGAGAGGTCTTTGAAGCTGAGTTGGGGGCACTATGTATATCGCTTTCTGTCACCGAGCCTGTCTCTTTAAATAGCCGACTGTGTTGAACTTGAGACATTATGTAAGAGGGAAGAGGCAGCTCTCTGTGTGCACATGGGCCTGTGTGTTTCCCCTGTCAGAACACTGCTGCAGCACTTTCCGCCTGATATCGCTCTCTCCCTCTCCCTCTCTCTTTGGCCCACACTGTGCAACCCGTTTGTTGCCCCCGAGTTATCATAAGCAAGAGAGTCTCTGGTGTCACTCAACAGTATGTGCCAATATAGATGTGACAAAAGAGGGTTAGGTTGCCATTCCCATTTTAGATACCCTTTGGCACTTTCAATTTTATTTTCTTGTTGGTTTTATTATGATTATAACAATTCTATTATTTAACAGCGTTCAATGTCTGTGGTGTTCGTTCATCTTGTTAGATTTTGCTATTTTTAAATCAGGCTGCATGCTGGACAATGGCTGTTAATTATTAAACCAGGGGAGCAAGTAGTGCATGTATTTTATGGAAGGGGAAGCTAAAGGAACAGAAGCACTCTTCCTTTGCATTCATTAATCAGACTATTATAACACTAATGGTCTCAGATTGTATTGTGTCCTTATGAGATTTTATAAGGTTTAAAGGGAAGTTACAGGGCAATATTACTTCCATTGAAAGGGTGGGGGGGTCACTTTACCCTGCATGGTTTCACAGACAGGGCTTGGATTAAGCCTGGACTAGGCCTTAGTTAAATTAGGACATTTGAAAAAAGTCTGCATCTTGAGACAAAACAATGGCACTGACAATTTTTAAGATATGTCAGTGCTTTCAGTTAAAACAGCCCAATTTTAGTCTGGGACTAGCTTAAGCATCGTCGTTGAAACCGGGCATTTGTGGTGCCAGTTTGAGATGCAGAGACGACCACAAATGAGCCATTTGTAGATTGATTCCTCGAAAGTGTAAACGCGGCGTCTTTGGCAGAAAACACTGCCGTTTGTTTGAGCATCCTGGCATAGCAACATTGGCGCATCAACCAGTGGTGTGTATTTTAGGCGGGACTGTCTGTTTGTCCAACCATGGCAGATTTTGGGGAAACATGTCATTTATTATTTTTTGCAATTCTGTTTGGTGACACAAATGACACACTTCAGCTTTTCCTAAAGCTAAAACTCTTAATATTTTGGATATTGTGTTCAGCTCCATTCTGGGGGAATCCGTGTGTTTTCCATGGCACTCAGGTCTGTCCTAAATGTCTCTGTCCCTTGGTGACTCATGCCAAAGTTCCTCTGTAATTAGAAAAAAGCTTCGCAAGCCCGAGCAGGACATTTTATACAGATGATGTTTACTCTGTCTCTTTTCAAATCACTCAGAGATTTAGATACAGAATTACTTCATTATTTGGCAAGCATTCTTCACTTATGCAACTTAAAGCAGTAGAGCAGAGTGCATAAGCTGGCACGTACACGTTTAAAGTGCTTTGAAACTTCCACATGTGCATATCAGTTACTTTATCTCATAATAAAAAATATTTTAAAATGATTTGATATATAAGTTATTTTTAAATTTTGTAGGATTTATGATTAAAACAAGAAGAATTAGTTATAGAACACTTCATGTTTCTACACTACTGATACTTTTATTCAGAAAGGATGCATTAAATGTGAAATATCTTATACTAAAATATTTCTATTTCAAATAAATGCTGTTCTTCAAACGTTCTTTTCCTGTAAGAATCCCATAAAATTACACACTTTCCACTTAAGCAGCACAACCTATTTTCCACTAATAATAATAAAAATAATTGTTTCTTGAGCAGCAAAGCAGCATATTAGAATGAGACTTTAGACTTTCTTAAGACGTGAATAATAATGGCCATTTAAAAATTCCAGCTTTTCCAATGGAGGTAATTTAATAAATATATAAAATAACTGTTTTCTATTTTAATATTGGCTATATATATATATATATATATAGCCAATATTAAAATATAGAACAGTTATTTTAAATTGTAATACTATCTCACTATTATCAATGTTACTATTGGTCAATTTATGATCAAATAAATTTAGTTTTGGTGAGCGTAACAATGTTTTTATTTTAGGTTTTAATTTATTGACCCCAAACTTTTTAACGCTGGTGTAAAAAAAAAAAAAAGTTAACTGTACCTTGTTTTTAAGCATGTTCAGAATTGTTTTACTGGAAAATACTGATTAACTGCAATGCAAATATGATTATTTGATGCCATAAAACATTTTCACATGTGCATGGTTTCCCAGTATGCTCTAAGCTGCTCTGAGTCTGAATATGATCTTGTACTGTACCAATTTTGTATGCAGTACTGTTTTTTTTCCTCCCCAAAAGCTGCCACTCTCCATTTAAACCTACTGGTAGCAAAGATAAAGATAAGGGGTGTAAGTGTGTTCCGGGCAGCATGGCAACGCTGCGTCACGTTCAGAGAGAGAGAGAGAGGGGAGGGGGGGCAGGAGGGATGGACAGTTGCTCAAAAGCTGATTGTGCTGGCTGGCTTTCCTATCAGGGCAGCTCACACGCATCCAAATCCCAGATTAAACACCCCCACCTCTCTTTCCAACCAGCAGCAGCACTCCTACAAGTCCCTGCCCCCTCTCTTCCTCCTTGTGTAACTGTACCAAGCGTGGATTACCAACTCTGAAGCAAAGCAGGGGCTCTGACAGGCTCCGAACAGAATGGTGAGGTAGGAACATGAGGCATTAGTTGCTGTTATCATTTTGTATCTGGTCGATGGCATTTTCACGGACGAATTCACATGCAATTGCGTTACGCGTTTCTTTCTCTGCCACTGTTTGTGCAGGTGTGTGCGCGCGCACTTTGCAGGATGGTTTGTGGTTTGTTGTGGCTGTGTGTGTGTTGTGTGTGAGGATAGCTGCTGGGAGCTCAGTGAAGCTTAGAAGTGACCAGGAGATGTTTGTGTCTGAGTGAAAAACCTGCATCTGTACAGACCTGTTCGAATAATCACAAGAGAATCAAACACTACAAGAGCTAAAACAGAAACTCATCCAGTTGGTGTTACTTGTTATGTGCACTCTTTATTTTTATTATTGTCAAATTGGGAAGTTATTGTTGTCTTTTCTTATATAGTTTCAAATTGGTTTTGGTTTTGTTTTTTTGTGAAGAGCCGACTTATGAACTGAAAAGAAAGGGTAATAGGTCAGACTAAGCCCACTATCATTGTTTTATGAAAATACATAACAGCTTATCTGGGATTAGTGTCACCTGCTGTTTTACAGTATGGAAAATGAAGATTCATTTTATGTATTTTCAGATGACCTCAAATCCCAAAATATGTACCAAGATGTTTACCATACATGGACGGTCATCCTTGAATCTTTCGATAGTTTCATAAATATTTTTCAAAAATACATATTCTTATGTAGTCGTTGCATCATGTTCCTAAATGAATATACTAAATGTACAATATTCTAAAACAGAATATTCGGTTTTTTTGCTTTAATGTTGCAGAATGATATAGAGCCCATGTATTATCAGCTAATATTTGATGACATGTTTATCTACACAGCACAGACCACATTTTAGTGCTTAACCACATCTTTTTTCCGTTCTTCATTACATATTCGGCATGTTTATCATACCAGGCGATACAAAAATATGATAAATATCTCTTTTACGTTCACACTTATACACTGTCAAAATTCAGCTGTAGGTGACAGAAATTCACAAAAAAATTAAATAAAATAACCAAGTAGCAATAATTGTCATTGTAGTGTCGTAGTATCTGAGTTAAGTATTTTATCTCAAATATTAATAATATACCATTCTTAACGACTCAAACGGTGCCGTTTCCATTAACAATAACTAATAAACATATTAACAACACAAATCACTTAACATTACAAAATAGCATCACAAAATGTGTTGTCTTGTTGAATATAATATATTTTTTGCATAAATTATATGTAATTCAGATGTTTCACTTCCAAAACCCATAATTTGTATAGTGATTCACAGTACAATTATGTGTATTGTCCTGTTAAATTTTAGGTCATTTTTTCTCTGTATATGCTATCTTACAGTTAACCAATTACAGTTCCTTTGCATTACAATTATAAACGTCTATATACATACATTTGTGAACAACTTTTTGTTCTCTATGTCGTAGTTGCTGGGCTTGCTTTTCTAAAAGTCATTGTCAGGAAAAAAAGTGTTGACAAATGCCAATGAATTATTAATCCACATATATTTTATTATTTTTGCTTCAGCTTCAAACATTAGAAACGATTGGGAAGTTAGTGAGCATGATGTGACACGGGGGGATAATAGCCCTTTTGACAAACATATCATAAGCAGTTAGTCATGATGAGGGGGGAAGAGATGCTGAACATCCAGTGTGAGCAGTGATTACTAATGCTCACTGGTAGCCTCAGTGAAACAATACTACAGGTACTACAACACTTCCTCTATGGTGAAGAACTGGAGGAAGTGAGTGATGTTTGCTAACTTTCCATGGAAAGGCATGCGGGGAATTCATGTGTTGAAACTGACAGTCCCGGGGTAAGACGTAATGCGCACATCTGTTCATTAAGACCTCTGCTTTTCAATGCAAGTTAATCTTTCAACAACATTTGAGGCATGGTGTAGAATATTTTGAGCTGTATGTAGTAATGCACCACAGGACTGGATGTCTGGATGGCCCGGGCAGATGTGAGCAAGTTCCAACTGCTGTGTTGTCACTAAATCTTACATTTCTTAGACATGTTCTTTTTTTTTTATTTCAATGTCACCGACGTAATGCTATCAAGCTGGCTAATATAAATGAAGTTAAATGAAATTATTTTCTATTCTAATGACAGAAAGATTGTGCTTTACCCTGAATTTTCCTTCATTTATTATGTAAATCTCATTAAATCACAGTATAGAATGTTCCCTTTCGCTAGAGAACTACTACGTCTCGTCTGAGGAGTTTCCAACAAATTGGAATCCCCATTCGTTGGAAACTCCTCAGACGAGGCGTCTCCGTTCCCTAGTCAGGAAACGAGGGTTACCATACGTAACCGAGACGTTTTTTTGTTTTTTGTTTTTAAGAAATGGAATTGTCCATTTGTATAGTAAAGGTAAAATCCATTTACATTGTTAGAGATTTCTATTTCTATTTTCAATGATTGCTGTTCTTTTTAACTTTCTCTTCATCAAAGGATTCATAGTTTCTAAAAAAAAAATCTTAAGCGGCACAACTGTTTTTAACATTGATAATTTAAAAAAAATAGTTATTGAGCAGGGAATCAGCTTATTATAATGAATTCTGAAGGATCATGTGACACTGAAGACTGGAGTAATGATGCTTTACCATCGTAGAAATAAATTACATTTTATATAAAATATAGCTTTTTTTATAATTGTAATTTTTATTTTATTTAGATTGTAATAATATTTGGCTTTGGCAGTATTACTGTTTTTACTGTATTTTTGATCAAATAAATGAAGCCTTAGTGATCATAAGAGACTTCTTTTAAATGGTGTAAATGATATTGTGGTCGGGTTGATATGAAAGTAAGTGACTTGTATGCCGTCACTTTAAGTGAGATTAAGACACGGGGCCCCTAGCAGGCAGGCACGCTCTGAAACAGCACGCAGATACAATTACTCCTGACCCCTGAACGGCCATTCACAAAGCCTTCTCACGTGAGGGAGCCGGTGTAGGGACAGACGGGCTGCAGGCAGCCAGACAGCTGGGGCCCAACACCAGCCCAGATTACACATGACCTCTCGTCCCCTTCCACCCCCTCATCAACCCCAAAGGATTAGGAAATAACTTCAAACGCAGCAAATCGTAACTGATTAGAATTGGCGCTCGGCGTGAAATTGGACACAAATATACATGTTGCTAAGCTTGCTTGATGACATCACTAGAATGGGTGGGTGAACTTAAGTGTTTGCAAAGCCTGAGATGTACAGGATGCAGAAGTGCATATAGGCCCCATTTTATTTGAACCTAAATGTACTGTTTAAAAGTTTCGGGTTGGTGAGATTTTTTTTAATGCTTTTAAATGAAGTCTGTTATACTCAGCGAGGCTGCATTTAATTGGTCGAAAATACATTGAAAACACAATAACATTGTGAAATATTCTTACAATTGACAGTTTTCTATTTCAGTCTTTAAAAATGTAATCATAACTCCAGTTTTCAGTGTCACATGATCCTTCAGATTTAAATAAAAAAAATTATAAAGGGGCCATGTGCAATTTTTAACATAAATGTTTCCATTTCATGCTAATTTTCATCCATTGTCCCCAGGCAGGTCAACACTAGCATAAAATGACAGGCAATACCTATACATGTGTTCACATACAATAAAAGCATACACACACATACTACCAGGGCCACAAAAAAAGGGGGAAAAAAACAGTGTAATTAAATAAATAGATCAATTAAACTGCAACAAACTCAATGTTTACTGCGTTGGTTCAATTTTAAAAAAAGATTTATAACTTCAATTTAAAAAGACCAAGAGCTTTACACCCTTTTATCCTCTGGTATGGCATTCCACTGATTAGTAGCTTTCACTGCGAAAGACGATAGTCCAAATGCAGAACAACGAAAGGGAACCAAACAATTACTCATGGATGATAATCTGGTAGATCGCTGGTAGAGTTTACATAATACAGAAGAAGCCAAGCGATTTAAGATTTTATAAACCATACACAAACTTGAAAAAAGTCTAAAATTGTCTAAAAAGTAAAAAAAAAAATGATCCTACAATTTTGAAAATGGTTTGTTTTTTTAGCTAAAATGTCTATTTATAGGGATTTTAAGGGTTTAATCACAGTTTCACCAGCTTGACCCCAACGTGTCAGACAGTAAGACATGTAAGAAAGGACTGTAGTATGCAAAAAAATCAACAGAGACATTGTCTAATTTGTTTTTTGATTTCAAGCAAAGACATGATTGTTCCAGCCACTGTGTAATCCTCTCTGTTGCAACTTTCAACGTCTCAGCTGCTAACTCTAAAAATAACAGTATCATCAGCATACATTTGTACTTGTATCCCTTCAGACTTTTGCAGAAGATTAGTAGCAAGTCCTGCAGACTAAATAATAAGGGACCTAACACTGATCCTTAGGGTACACCCATTGTATAATGCCAATTGCAGGACTTAACCCCTTAAATCTTTACTCATTGTTCTTTTTTTAATAAATAGACAACATTAGAATTCATTCAACTCTGTTAGCTAATTTTCTGATTGTCATTTTGCTTTAATTTCAGGTGGTTTCATCCCAACATCACTGGGATCGAGGCAGAACACCTCCTCCTGACACGGGGCGTCCATGGCAGCTTTCTAGCGAGACCCAGCAAGAGCAACCCTGGGGATTTCACTCTGTCTGTCAGGTCGGCATATTTACAATGTGCTTCTCCAAACCTGCCTTACTGCACTTATGCTCTTGTCTTGAATTATGCTTTTTTCCACAAGACGCTTATGTTGGTCATAGCGTCATTATGTTGTTTTGACCTGATCTCCCCTGTTAAACATTTAGTCATTGATTTCTTGGAAGTGTACTTGTTTGTCTAGCTGACTGTTTCCATGCTTGGTAAAGCATTAAAATGTCCGTTTGTTTCATAGATTTCTGTCAGCTTTTGTTTCACGGAGAGAAAGCCCAAAAGATAATTTCATAAAACACAAATACAATAGGGCCGAGCTCTTCAACACCACTCATGGGGACCCACTGGCCTGCAAAGGTTATTTTTTTCCAGCACACTCTGCCTGTGTGTTTTCAAGTGATCCTTGAGCTTGATTTGGTCTTTGATTACGGCTGGAACTAAACTCTGCTGGACAGCGTGTCCCCAGGAGCAGATCTCTGCAATAGGGAATATTCCCTAATATAAAAAAAAAAACATTACCATTGTCTTGTAATGCATACATATTGCATTATGTCATCGTGTATTGAGGATTACAGCTGCGTTTGTATTGGTCACCATCAGTATTAGATGCTCGCACGTAGATGACCGTAATAGATTGCACTTTTTCTCCCGCTCTCTCCAGAACCTCTAGCTTTTAAGTTGCCCCTCGGCTAGTGCTTAAGGATTACAGTGTCAGCTTGTGACCAGGTCTGTGAGCCACTGCAGCTGCTTGTCTGATGGATGATCAGAGAGTCAACAGAGAGAGAGAGAAAAGGGCTTTCATAATAGCTTTAAGACGTGGTGGCCATGGAGCCCAGATCAGCCGTTTGTGGTTATGGTGGTAAGACTCTCACTGTTTCTAATGTTCTCCAGAACTAAGGCCACGTGGCTCAACTCCAACGCAAGCCTTCAGGGCTGAAGCCCAGCTGCATGCAGACTGATTTATCTGCCCAGCTGTGAAGCAATGAGGTCAGCTTGTTATGATTATCAGATGCATAGACATACCAGCATATAAACAAGTTATAGTGCAGGCTATTGATTAGTGTATTTTTGGACCCATGTTTTGTGCTTTTCAGTACTGAATTACTGTAGCTGCCTTCCTAACCGTCACAAAACGAATTTTTAAATAATACTGATAAATATTTATCAGTATTGAAAAAAATATAATCAACATTACTTTGCCTTGACCACCAAAAACCTTTTTTTTTGTTCAAACAATGAAATGGTATTATATTATATTTAATTTTAAATTGGTGCAGAATTAATGTAGAAATTACTCTTGACTTTTTTGTAGTCTTTAAGTATTTTTACTTTTTGGCTTTGGCCCATATTTGTATTTAAATATAGGTCATTCCCTCTCAAGTGGTCAAAAAATTGTAAAGTCAGTTGCTTGACCATTTTTAATGTTCCATTTTTTGAGTGATTTCCTCTATGTATTGGTATTTTTATTGTTTTGGAATACCAATATAATATAATATAATGGAATCACAAAAAATAATAATAATCTTTTTTTTTTTTTTTTACAAATGATCAAGCAACCTCTTTTGGACCACTTGGGATGACCCATAATTATAGCATGACAGATTAAAATACTTGATTGGTTGGTCAGTTGCATCATTTGAATGAATATTTGTGTAAAATTGCCATGAAATTTTCCAAACATTTTCCAAAGTTAAATTCTAATATGTTTTTAGCTCATGTCAGGGTCCTGATTTCCCTGTCAAGATTTATCTATGATAAGTCATGATATTTGTGAATATCACAAATATAAAGCTCATGAAACTATACGGCGCAGGCTAGATCGGTCCTTAACTCAATCTGTGGAATCACATTATTCTCTGTAGGGCACAGCTGATTGGTTCCTGCTGTATCAGTAGCCAATGAGCTTGCTGCTCAACCTTCAAACACTGGTCAGCATTTCCTGTAGCAGTTCAGCACACTTTCAGAAACCCTCAATCCACCCCAGCTCCATAGTAGATCTGCTACGGGTATGCTATATTGTACCGCAGCAGCATGTCTTCCTGAATGTTGTGTATGTATAGACCGTATGTAGTCTCACCCCTTTTCAGCTCTGTGCTCATTGTCTTTCATCTTCTGGTCTGTATTTTCACAGCGATCTTGCATATTTATGCAAGCTTGTTTCTCTGGCGCATAAGGTCTATTGACAGTAGTCCTGTACTTGCTCTGCAGCAGCAGCAATAACAGCAGCAACAGCAGCAGTGAACATATCATATTGATGATAACATATTGTCACATCCATTACCATGCTAAACACTCCAAGAGTTGTCATGACAGAAAGACCATGACTAATGTAGACCCAGCAAAACAAACAAATAAACATAATTTCGAATGCATCAATACAAGAGATACTCAGACATCATCAGCAAGTCTCGCTGCTGTTCTGTCTCTCAGACCTAATGTAGGCAGATGAGACCTTAATTACAAAGTTATGAGGAAAAGTCTTCGACTTTTACGGTGCATTATTAGATAAAGGAAGGAGTTATTTGGCCAAATGGACACCCAGGGACTTCAATGCATTATGTTCCCCTACTCCATGCTTCTGTTTCTCTTATCTGTCTCTCACCATTTTTCCTGGGTGGAAACTATTGCTCAGCGTCTGCACTATTGTTAACCGTTAAGTTGCGGACAGAAAGCTGGGAGCCGAGTCAGATGAATGGCTCGCGGCGCTGCAGTGTAACATATGATGTGTCAGGGCCAGGTGAAATATGTCAGGGGTTGTTTCCTGTCTGCCTGTTATGTCTATCAGGAGCAGGGAACAGGAAGTGACCCTCTAAAACTGTTTTCACATTCACAGAGGATAGTTTGAGGTTTTACTTTTGGGTTAAAGTTTCACTATGACTTCTGCTCTAGTAACGATCAATCCGTGTGAAGAAAATGAAGTGAACGTCTATTTTATAGTATCGTTTTGTGTAACCCGAGGCCCACTTGTAGAAAATTGTTCCCCAGCCAAATGTTTATTTCCCAATCAACTTGTGGCAAATGCATAGTCTAAACATCATTTAGACAGTCTAATGAATGGACCATTGTAAAATGAATTGTTCATCCCAATAGGACCACTTCACCCATAAAGGAAAATGATCCCATGATTTAAATGTACTCACCCTCAAGCCATAAATGTATGACTTTCTTCTTTTTGCCTAATACAATCAGGGTTATATTAAATTTATAAGTTATTGATTTAAGAAAAGGTGCACTAATATGAAGACAAATGTATTTGAAGAATGAGATGATTGTGTTTATTTCATTTGTATTTAAAAATCATCCACATAATGTGCCGCCACATTGAATTCTGGGGAAAACATATTATTTTAAGCACCCAACTTCTGTAGAGGGGCTCAATATAGCAGGATTGTGTTTCTGTCTTATTTTCTGGCTTTAGCAGGAAAATCAATGACTGTAGCCACAGCTCTGTCATTCTACTCTGACTCTGGACATAAAACCTCATGCAAATGATCGAATCACATTCACACATTCAGAACATTTGCATTTGAGGATAAGGAATCTGACAGGGTGCTAGCATACTCTAAAAATTGCTGGGTTGTTTTAACCCAACTTTGGGTCAAATATGGATGGACAAACCATTGGGTTACATTTTTTAAATGACATTTTTAACCCAACGTCTGACCCAAAGTTGGGTTAAAACAACCCAGCAGTTTTAGAGTGCAGTCTATCATCAAACAAGCAAAAAAGTTTTCTAATTATGACATAATTTTATTTTTAGTATTATTATTATAAAAAATTAAAAACAATAGAAGTGTACAGTATGACTTGATTTAGACGTCCTTCAATGTAGGCAAACTTGTGATTGCATTAGAGCCAGAGCACAGAGAGACGCTCATCTGCTGCAGTCAGCAGCCATTAGCCCCTCACTGCTGAGACCGTGCTGCTCTGCCTCCTCTCTTACCTCCAGAATGCAATTACACTGTGCAGAGTGCAATTTTCATGAGCCAGGCCAGGATAGAGCCATGGATGCCTAGAGAAAGCCAGAGAAATTAAACATTTAGATTGGTTTCTGTCAGATTTTTTTTTTATTTAGATTTTTTTTTGCAGTTATATATATATATATATATATGTGTGTGTGTGTGTGTGTCTGTTTGAGCTGAATTGCAATAGTTGTGATCCGCTCACGAAGCGTAAGTTGTGGTTTTGCGCCTGAGCACAGCTGATTTATATCTACGCAGGTGTTCCTCTCTACTTTTTCCATACTGTGCCATTTGAAGCTAACAGTTTTGGTGAGAGTATACCTGAAGTCTGTTAAGAGTCATGTTCTATTTACTATAGAACTTTGGTTGCTCCAAAACACTTTGTCCCTCATTTTAACTTTGGAACTTTCATAATGTTTTTTTTTCTTTGTATTCATAAAACTGTGTTTTTTTTATTACTACTGTATTTAATTAAAATGTTGCATATTAATATTTTCATTACAGGCGATTATACGATTAATTTTGAATCGTGATTATTTATTTCAACCTTTTGAAAAGCAAATAAAAGTAAAAGAGCTTGCTTGCAAATCAAAAACAGGTTTGGATTTACATTAAAGATTGATTTCTTAAAATAAATTACAACAATTTAGAATAAGCTGCATATCTTACTGCCAAAATGTAATTTTATGATGACTATAAGTTCATAAAGCTTTTGCTGGAAAATGACGACATGTGAAGATGTGCACTGAATATTTTTTTTTTTTGAATTATCAGCTTAAGACTACTAATTCACTCTCGCTTTGGAAAATAGATTTCTGTACCTTTGTTAGATATTTACATCAGCATTTAGCCTGGTTTAAAGTGTCAGTTTTCAGTGCCAACCTCCTAACTGTTATCTGTCTTTTCCATCTTTTCCATCCTGTCTGTCATCCCTCATATCCCCACCCCCTGCATTTCCCTGTTGTGTCCCATCTGTTTGTTCTGGGCAGGAGGAACGATGAGGTCACCCATATTAAAATCCAGAACTCTGGGGACTATTATGACCTGTACGGAGGGGAGAAATTCGCCACTCTGGCTGAATTGGTTCAGTACTACACCGAGCAGCACGACCTCCTGCGAGAACGCAACGGAGATGTCATCGAGCTGAAATACCCCCTCAACTGCAAAGATCCCACATCTGAGAGGTACGGCAGCTCCAGATCTACCCGGAGCTCTTACAGCTCGACGGTGACATTAGTGTGGAAAGAAGAAATCCTGCCCCCTAGTGTTCAAACCCTTTGAGGTCCAGTCTCACTCTCAAGTATACTTTTTAACTTCCTTCACCTGTGTTTAATGTTTATACACCGTCTATATTGTGCAACGTCCTCTAGGTTGTGAAATCAAAGTGAAATATGCATATATATTAAACACTGTAGATGCAAACATATTTGCTTTCAAAGATTATATTTGGCTGGTTTTTTGTGGTTTTTCCAGCATGTGAGCGAAGGCCTCCCACACATATCCTCATATCATAACAACTCTCACAGTCTTTACATTCGCAAGCACATTTTCCAACCACAAAATATAGTCTGCACTATAGTTTCTATAGTGAAAGTTGGAAATGTGAACAGTTTTGCAGGTGACAATTAAAGTAGGCGTTTTTATGTGTGGAGGCAAACATTAATAATCCATTATATTACAATGAGAAGGTTTGCATACTGTATGAAATTGCGGAAAACATGTGTTTACTCTTTACATTATTCAAATGTATTTTTCATAATCCATTTTGGCGGTACATTATGTGCATTTCTGTGCTTCATTGTTGTGTTTTGCATGTCTCAGGTGGTATCATGGGCATCTTTCGGGGAGAGATGCTGAAAAGCTCCTCATGGAGAAGGGTAAATCCGGCAGCTTCCTGGTGAGAGAGAGTCAGAGTAAACCGGGAGACTTTGTGCTTTCCGTCCTCACTAATGAAGAAAAGCATGAAAATGTAGACCGCAAGACTAAAGTCACCCATGTCATGATCCGTTATCAGGTAAAAAATGCAGTAAAAACGTCACAATTTTCTCAAGAAAATAAAAATCTGTATTTTTTTTAAAGAGAAGCTGGTTTGTCTGTTCTCTTTACCAGGATGGGAAATATGATGTAGGAGGAGGGGAGAGGTTTGACACTTTAGCGGATTTAGTGGAGCATTATAAGAAAAACCCCATGGTGGAGAAGAGTGGAATTGTTGTGCACCTTAAACAGGTGAGTAAATTAAACCAAGCCTGACAGAAAAAAAAAAAAATTGCGTTAATTACAAATGCAAAACAAGTACAATGCAATAAAATACAATACCGTTATTCAGCAAGGATGCATTCAATTGTTTAAAAGTGACTGTGAAGACAAATATAATGTTAAATAAATTTTAATTCTAATTTAAATAAATGTTTTACCTTTCTATGTATCAAAGATTTTTTATCATGGTTTCCACAAAAGTATTATGACACACGACATTGATTTTTAACATAATAATAAGAAAAAGTTTCTTGAGCAGCAAATCAGCATATTAAAATGATTTCTGAAGGGTCATGTGACACTGAAGACTGGAGTAATGATACTGATCATTTAGCTTTACCATTACATTTAAAAAAGTAATTAAAATAGAAACAAAAATATATACAATTTGAATATATCACAAATTGACTGTATTTTTATCAAACAAATGCATAAGATACTTTTTTTTTACCTACTCCAAACTTTTAAATGGTAGTGCACTGTAAATACATACTATATTATTTGTATACTGTATCATTTGATACCTAACAAACCAAATTTCATTATTAACATTTTGTTTTAAAATATTTAGCTGTTTGTGCTGTATTTCTTGATACATTTAAGGTACTTTTCGTCTTTTATACATATTTATATATATATATTTTGTTCTTTCTTTATATGTTCAAGCCATTTAATGCCACTAGGATAAATGCAGCAAACATTGAAAACCGGGTACGAGAATTAAATAAAGTAGCTGACAACTCAGAGAAACCCAAGCAAGGCTTCTGGGAAGAATTTGAGGTATTTCTGTCCATATTCATTTGTCTACTCATATTTTCTGTTCATCATAGGATGTGGTGATTCAGTCCAGCGTACTTTCCGCTGTAATACACTCATTAAACCTCAGAGGACTGTTTGATACGAGAGCTGTTTATAAAAAGACTCTCTGCTTGCTGACCTCTTAAACTGCAGTTCCTGTTTGGCGCTAACTGTCCAGATAAGGGGGACGTTCCTGCAGGGGGTGCTGACTTAACATAACGTCTCATTACGCTGCAAAGTTGGGATGAATACTTTTCAAGGGTCCATTGCTCGAAGCCACATTTCTTTATCTTGTCCCCTGTTGTTCTGTAGGTTTTACAGCAGCAAGAATGTAAACTCCTTTACCCCAGGAAAGAGGGGCAGAGACCCGAAAATAAAAACAAGAACAGATATAAGAACATACTACCATGTGAGTAAAGGTGTCATAATGGACGGACACATTTCATAATTCAACGCGATAAAGCAACCGTTAATCTCCATGACTCATTTTCTCTGTTGCAGTTGACACCACTCGAGTGCAGATCAAGGAGTTGGATTCTGATGCGCTAGGCTCCGATTACATCAATGCTAACTATATCCGAGTAAGCCGGTTCACTCATAATGCTTGCATGTCAATATTAATGTCACGCTTTTTCTGGGTTCCTGGAACTGTGATCAATATTTTGCATGTTCTTTATCATTCTGAGTGTTGTCCTCATTGATTTTTTTTTAGAGCATGAATGAAGAAGGTTGTCATGTGGATGAAGGTAAAGTGTTCATCGCCACTCAGGGTTGCCTTCAGAACACCGTCCTAGACTTCTGGAAAATGGTGTATCAGGAAAACACTCATGTTATTGTCATGACAACCAAGGAGATGGAGAGAGGACGGGTGAGATCCAGCCCTGGATGATGCAATGTTTTGTAGGATTTGAACACACAATTTCCTCTGAAATGATATAAAATGTACACAGTTAATCATGACTATTACATGTTTTAAAAAATGCAAACTTTAGTGATGTTATTCATTGAAAATATTTTAAAATGGATTACTAATGTAACAAAGATTATATTTTGGAACTGAAAACGTAAATTCTATCTATAGAATAAGTGTGTGCGGTACTGGCCGGACTTAAATTCAACAAAGGAGTTTGGGAAGGTGTGTGTGAAGAACATTGAGGAACACACAGCTCAGGACTACATACGGCGAGAGCTTGAAGTCACGCGTCTAGACAGGGTAAGAGCACCGTGATGACAGTTGAGATGACGGTACCAGACTTTTGACCTTTTTGTTTACAGAAGCAACTTATTTTAGTCACTTTAAACATGTATTATGTTACAGTTTTGTTGTCTTTTTTTCTTAATTTTCTTTGATAATAATTTTGTGTCATTTTTCATCTATGGTTTATAGAGAGAGCCTCCCAGGTGTGTCTGGCACTATCAGTACCTGAGCTGGCCTGACCATGGTGTTCCTAATGAACCAGGAGGAGTCTTGAGCTTCCTGGAGCAAGTGAACAGAACCCAGAGCGCCATTCCAGAGAGTGGACCGATCGTGGTTCACTGCAGGTACTGCACACCTCACTCAGCCCCACATGATCAACTCCTTATCTTGAGTAATGTAGTCTTAAAAGAGTAGTTCACCTTTAAAAAAAAACTTTTGCTGATAATTTACTCACTCCCATGTCATCCAAGATGTCCATGTCTTTCTTTCTTCAGTCGAAAAGAAATTAAGGTTTTTGATGAAAACATTGCAAGGTTTTTCTCCATATAATGCACTTTACTGGGAACCAAACGGTTCGAGGTCCAAAAGACAGTTTCAGTGCAAACTGTTCAAAGGGCTTTAAATGATTCCAGACGATGAATAAGAGTCTTATCAAGTGAAATGATCGCTCATTTAAGGAAAAAAGCTCAAATGGTCGCCTTGCTCTGTCTGTTCTGTGATGCGCATTTGTGCCTCTCTATTCGAACTCGTTCATCAAAATGAACGAATCTTTTTCAATTCGTTCATTTCGTTCGTTGAATGAACCAAATGACTAGAAAAAAAGATTCTTTCATTTTGATAAACGAGTTTGAACAGGAGAGTTACGAACGCTCATCACAGAACAGAGCAAGGCAAGCATTTGAGCTTATAAAACTTAAACTTTGTTAGTTTTTTTTTTTTTTTTTAATGAGTGATCTTTTCGCTTGATAAGACTCTTATTCATCGTCTGGAATCATTTAAAGCCCTTTGAACAGTTTGCAGTTTGCACTGAAAGTGTCTTTTGGACCTTGAACCGTTTGGTTACCAGTAAAGTGCATTATATGGAGAAAAATCCTGGAATATTTTCATCAAAAACCTTAATTTCTTTTCGACTGAAGAAAGAAAGACATGGACATCTTGGATGACATGGGAGTGAGTAAATTATCAGCAAAAGTTTTTTAAAGTGAACTACTCCTTTAAGAGTGTTGTTATTATTATAAAGAATTACTGTGCTGAATTGCTTGTATTATTTATTTGAAAATACAAGGTTTTCCCTCATTGTGTACTCCGTAATCTAAACTTCCATTTTTCACTGTCATTCTAGTGCAGGGATTGGAAGAACAGGCACAATTATTGTGATTGACATCCTTATCGACATCATAAACAGACAAGGTAACTGTTTCATACAGATTGATCTCTGTTATGAATTGTATGCCTCTTGATGATAAAATATAACACAACTGAGCGTACTGTTCAGGTTTGGACTGTGACATTGACATCCCTAAGACCATTCAGAGAGTGCGCCAGCAACGATCCGGTATGGTTCAGACCGAGGCCCAGTACAAGTTCATCTACATGGCTGTTCAGCAATACATTGACACCGCTCAGAAGAGACTGGAGGAGGAGCAGGTACTTGAACACTTCTTTGCAACTGATGCTACTGTGACATATTTGGGCCCTGATTACACCTGCTATTAAGATGCGTTTTAGTCGATCGGATCACAAGTGGACAACGCTAAATACAGGTGTAAACAGGGTCTAAAACGTTTTGATCTTGCCCACTTTCGACCACTTCAAGAGGTTGTCGAAAACGCACTTGATCGGATTGCTTTCCTAGTGTAAATATGTAATTTGTGTGAGCCTATTTTGTCCAATGGATCGAAAGATCTGAAAAAAAGACCTTTTTTTGGACTGTTAATGTTTTGTCAAAAGTAAATTTATATGAGGAGTTTGACTAAACATTAAATCTTTTTTGTGCTAGAGATGAGTAAAGAGCGCTGTTGCAAAAAGTTACTACAAACCACTGTTAAGTTTTAATTTTTGTTAATGTTTTTTTGGGGGGAACTCACCAAGGCTGTATATTGTATGTTTATTTGACCATTTCCTATGATGATAAAGCTGAATGATCAGTATCATTATTCCAGTGTCACATGATCCTTCAGAAATCATTCTAATATGATTGTGTTCAATTTCGGACTGTTATCAATGTTGTAACTGTTTACGTAATATTTTATTAATGTGCTGCTTAATATTTGTCTGGAAACCATGATAAAAGTCAAATTTTGAAAGTTTAAAAGAACAAGTGTATGTGTATATCGTTATGAGTGTTATATCCACACAATTGCCAAATCCAATAATAGCATATTATTTAGTTTTTTTTTTAAGAAACTGAATGCATTAACATGTTGACTACAAAGAATTTTGTTGTTTATTTACATTTTTAGAGGAATAAAACGAAGGAGAGAGAATACTCTAACATCAAGTACCCACAGATGTCAAATGCCAGAGCCAAGCCAAACATGAGCTCGTCTCGCTCTTCATCTGTGTAAGTGCTGATTTCCTGTTTTGCACACAAACACACTGTTTAAAAAAAACAAAATGGCCCACACAGTGTTTCTTTAGATGATCTGTACTATCTTCCATACTTCCTCAATTCTAAAAGTATTTGTTCCTATGTGAATCATTTTGTGTCAAAAGGGTTCTGACGCTGCTGTGAGTCAGTTGTTCTAGAAGAATAAAAACAATATGCAACTTCAGCACATCAAATCATAAAATCTGTTTTCACATTTTCTTTTCAACTCTTCCACAGAATGAATGACGACTCCGGAGTGTATGAGAATCTGAACATCAAAAATCCAAAGGGCTCCACCAGCAGTAACACTAGGAGATAAGCCATGTGGGCTGCTGTCTCAGGGACTCTGGGAGTATGTTTTTCCACCCTCGCTCTCACAGTGTTACACATTGGTGCAGATATGCTTATGTTTGAACACACACACACACAGAGATATGAATGCACACACCTGCATCAAGGCTGTTGAAGTAGAGAGACGAGTAGGAGAAAGACAGTAAGGAACAACTGGGGGTGGGAATTGTGTCTTTGTTGCAGCCCACCAGAACAAAGAGTATAATCTTACAGAATGGCAATGTTTGCCAAATGGCTTTGAAAATAACACCATAATTCAAAGAATATGCACAGCAACTGTACTTAGTATGCTTTCTAAATACCTTCTGTATAAATGAATAAATATATAACATGGAATCTAAATAATAATATAATAAAATAATAGTAAAACAACATATTTTATTAAAAATAACAATAATCATTTCTTGTGTTTTTTTAAGATTTCTATTTAACATAAATGTTCTTTCAAACTTTGATTGATTAAAATAACAGCATCAATATTATTTAAAAGAATCTTAAGCACCAAATTGACATTTTAGATTGATATCTAAATGATCATATGACATGAAAATTCAGCTTTGCCATCACTGGATTAAATTACATGTTAAAATATGTTTAAATAGAAAACAGTCATTTTAAATTGTAATAATTTTTCACATTATTGATCTTTTTCCTGTATTTTTTGTTTTTGGTGAGCATAAGAGACTTATTTCAGAAACATCTTACCGACTTTACTTTTTATGACCGATGACTGTTCACACTGACAGCCAAAATCCAAATGTAGACATATCTGACTGAAATATTATTTGTAGAGTTAATAATACAAACCGAAACAAGTCACATCCATATGTGGTTTGTTTCAGTTAAAAAAAAAAATCTAAATATGAATAGTGTTATGTTACATTACACAAATACTTTTTGGTCTTTCAGAATGTGGCACATTGTACTCTAGATAAAGGGGGATAAGTAGGGATGTGTCAATACAATTTTCTCTTTCTACACTGACAGCTTGGTTCTCTCTCAGCCTTTGTAGAAGAAAGTCATTTGACATCCTGTTGACGCCTACATCATTACTATAGCAACCAAAGTACTGTAGATACACCAGTGTGAAAGTAACACAACTGCTAAAACAATGCGTCACTAAACGTTCTGGTCTTTTGCTTTGCAGTTCCAGCAGAGGTGCTGTGTAGAAGCACCTGATCATGGAACGGTACTGGGAGGGGGGGGGGACAAGCAGCGCCTACGCTGAGGTGACACCGTCAGCCGCTCGGCTGGAGATTCCACGACATCTCCAACAGCTCCTCTCTTCATTTCCTGACTGACTACGTCTGAGAAACTCACACTCCGAAACCAAGTGCCTGATTAGCAGCCGAAATTGTTCCGGCAAAGGACGTGTGACTTGGTGCTTTCGCTCCCCCCTTCTAGCCTAACAAGCCTACACTGCACTAAGCTACATGATGGTTTGATTATGTGTGAAATAAATTTGAAAATTAATATTTACACTCAGTGACATAACTTTGGATGAAGCTACGCTCTTTCCATGCTGTCTACGGCTGTTTCCAGACCTTGCTTTGTCTACTGGATATCGTCTACTGTAACCAAAGAACTCTGATATATATATATATACGTACTGTATATATCTCTCAGTTTCTCTGCTGAGTGATACTCGCGGCACGGTGATTTAAGAAGACGAGAACTGCACCGCCTGGCCTAAAGAATCCCTCTTTTCTTTTCAGAGGATATGAGAGTTGATTGGTCAAAGTTCGACCAATGAATCGGATACTAGATGTAAGTAGGTGTTTTAAATGGACTGATTTGGTACAGTGTGGTTGAATCTATACAGTATGTGCCAATTAGCAGCCTGTACATCATATTAGTGAAAGCTTCTGCTTTAAAGCTGTTTTTATTGAGCATTACCTCCAGGCTAATGAACAAGTCAGAGGGAGACAAGTGCTACTGTCAATCAAAGGCTTATCAACCAATCAGGCTGCCTCTTCATCAGCCGGCTCCTCCTCCTATGCGTTGACTTTCTTGTTCTGAATGCATCAGGTGAGCCTTTATTAGTTTTGTTTTGTTTGTTTGTTAACTATGATTCCTTTAGAGCAGTCGTATCTTTTGTTGTGATATTTGTGAATGTGATCATGAAATCTAGGCCTGGCATTTTTGAATATAATGCATTTCTCTTAATATTTTTATTCCACATTTTCCTCAGAGAAGACACATTAAGCTCTTTTATCACATATAAACAGGGTATGTGTGTATTTCGGTGTTATAAATAGCCTGATAAAGCTCTTTACTTCATAGTGGGTTGCGATCGCACAGAGGAGGCCTTTGAATGAAATAACGTAAAATGAAAAGCGTGATATTACTAAAGATCACATCAGGCCGAGCCGTTGACGTGAACTGGATTTCGTTGGAGACTTCAGCTAAAAATGAGGTAGGCCAGATGGCCCTCAGCTAAGATTAAAGAATAGATTTGTGTGGGGCGAAAAAAGTAATTTAAAAGATGGCTGTAATCCAGACGTGGCTATTATTGGGTGAGGTCAGCAGTGATGTCATAAGATGTTATATATACACACAGTACCGTTCAAAATTTTAAGGTCAGTAAGATTTTTTTATGATTTTATGATTTTTTTTTTTTTAATTTTAAAGAAATGAATACTCTTTTTCCAGTTTCCACAACAGCAAAAACATTTTCACCATGGATAGTATTAATAATAAATGTTTCTTGAGCAATTATTTCTGAAGACTGGAGTAATGATGCTGGAAACTCAGCTTTGACATCACAAGAAATAAATTACATTTAAAAATGTTTAAATAGAAAAGAGTTGTAATAATATCTCACAATATTACAGTTTTGACTATTTTGATTATATAAATGCAGCGTTGGTGAGCATAAGAGACTTTTTCTAAGAACATTAAAAATGGTAGTGTGCATGTTGGCTTAGATAAAGCAGGACATGATGTATGTGATTAATCACGGCGTCCGACTGTGAAAGGTTACATGAGGGGATCTGTGATGGCATGAGCTGTAGAGATGCCATGCGTGTTTGAGGGAGGCCAGGGTCTGCTTTTTTGCACTTGGAAGGATAAAATGTACTAGAGAATCGGTTTGCTAGGTAATAAAAGCAATGTCACTGCATATGATAATCATTGTCCTTGGAATGACTGACTGATTGAATGAATTGTATGTGATTTATGCACCTGATCATGTGAGAGCAATGTGCTACTGGCGTCTGAACGCTTTGAAACTGTTCATTTGCTGTGTTTTTTTTCCCTTTGTGAAAATGGGTAAAAGGTCAAAAACTGAGTGACATATTAAGACTTGAACTGCTGAAAGGTATAGTGTCCATGGCTGCCAGAATGTCCTTTTGTTCGGAGGTATATATAATGAATATCTGTTGATTTGACATCAGTGTAGTGTTTTGCGTTTAATTATTTGTTGTAAATTATACATTTCACTTGTTTGTTAATACAGTGATGGAAATATTCAAAGCTGTTTAGCATATTGTTTTAGAATGATTTGTTAACATTTATTATTAATTATTATACAAGACATCAACAGTTATAAAACTCTGCTCGCTTTATAACAATTTTGAAGTCTTCTCTTTAAATTTACTTGAATACTATGTTGTTGGTGGGTTGTTGTTTTTTAATCTCAGTTGGTGATCGGTAGGTTTGATCTGAATCGTGTTGTGCTGACTGTCCTTGTGTGGTAAAGACTGTGTTTCCTCTTGCACTGGTTCAGCCTAAAATGCCTTTTGCCCTTGAAAATACAGCCGATGTATTGTCTTGCATCTCAAATGAGAATACAGGATTAGTTATTGAATAATAAAGCATACACTGGGAACTTTCAACAAGTTGTCTCTGACTCATTTCACGTTACAAACAGCTACTGCCCCATATATTATTTCTTTTCCTCTTTATAATTTCCTTCTCTCTTTAGGGTATATTAATGAATAATATCTTGACATTTCGTTTCTCATAAAAACACCTGGAAGTAGTTAGCTAGCTAATAATCCATTCCTAGAAAACAAACACACACACATGGTGGAGCAGTTTACATGAGTGTGGGTGTGACTGTTCACAGGACACGTCGCTGTAGGGCTTAGGTTTCAAACGGTTATTCTTTGAGGCTTGTTTTGTTTAACCGTCCCTGAGCAGGAAGTGATAAATTACGGCCACGTTAATCTGTTTGCTTTTTCTTTTCTGCCCGTGTTATCAGTGATATCACATATATTGCGCCTATTAAAATTGAAAAACAGTCCATGACACCATTCCTTGAACTTCCGTGTGCCGTTTGCAGCTACAGTTATTTTTTTGTTTTTTTAAACAAAAACATTTCATGGATGGAATACAATGAAATAAAATATGTACAAGTAGAAAATATTCAGTTTTCTTTGGATTAAGTTCACATTTTCCATCGCTTGTTGGAGATTTGTGGGCAAAATCCAGTCTTTCAATAGAAATCCATGCGAATGGGAGTTTTTCCCCATTTCCCCATGCAGATTTCACTCGTGTTCATGTTGGTCACGTAATAGATTAGAAATAGAAAGCTGCTTGCTTGGTTTGAAAGTGACTTCTGTGTGAGCAGTGCTTCATGTATCGCTACAGACCTTTTTTTTACACTCTTTTTGCTGTTGTTTTTCAAAAAAAATGGTTTTGATCAATGTAGGCAGCCATTTAGCCATCAGTCAGTTTTGTCATGCACTGGCTAAGCTTTGCCACAAGATATAATAATGATACTGATGCAGTTCCTCAGTCTCTACAGCAGCATTGCTGTTTGTTAACTCTTTTAGCACCCAACAGGCTTAGCAAAGACGTATGGAGGTAAACGGACACCAACCAACCTGGTTTTGCAAGTCCGACATCCATCTAGACATGTCTGTCTCACTCATGTTACTAATGTGAGTTTGGTACTGTAGTAGAAGCTGTAGTAGTAGGCATCTGCAGGTTATGGGACGAACAACGGACGGAGCCCGTCGTGACGATGCACTGCAAGGGCCACAAAATGATCCCCAGCAGCAACAACATAAGGAATATAAAGATCAGCAAACGCTTCCAGTCCATCAACCGTTCCAGAAGCCCAAGTCGTGGTCGAGTTTGGGATGAAGGTACGCCACTTTGCCCACTGGCCCCAATATCGACGCAGATGCAGAACGCTGGCAGGCCTGGCATGTCTATCGGCCGCTGGTAGCACAACCTCTCCCCGTCCAGCCACACAGGCTCTTCCTGCTGCTGGTTGGCGGGCAGGCGACACAGCACCTCCTGGCTGGTGGTCAAAGCTGGAGGCCCCCTTTTTGGGATGGTAGTGGGGTGGCGGCAGAAGGGGCAGGAGATTTTAGAGTTTTGAGGGTCCAAGGAGGTAGCCATGATGCGGGAAAGGCACTCAAGGCAGAAGGTGTGAGTGCAGTCCAGCTGTTTTGGCGTTTTGAAGACATTGTCATAGGTGCTGAAGCAGATGGAGCACTCGGGATGAGAGCCTGCCTTCTCCAGGTCAGTTTCCAGCAAGACCCCCTGGGTGTGCCACACCACTGGGCTCGGCTCCATCTCACCGGAATGTGGTCCTCCACCTTCTTCCTCGTGCGGATTCACTAGAACAGGCGAGACAAACATTTAAAAGTCACCTCTAGGTTCTTTGTATAGGCTTTAGAGCAAAACTAGGTCACAGCTTATAAAATAAACATTCACCACCAGGTGATTTATGATGGTTTGTGTATGGACAACACTGAGAATATATTTGTATGGACATGAGTGTGCAAACAGAAAGGGCACACAGAACAGGCCTGAGCAAGATGACGGTTCAAAGTAAACATCATGCCTTTGTCTGACTCTTTGCCCTTTAACAGACTTAACTGTGACTTTGAGTTGGTCATCAGTTCTACAAAGTTCTACTCAAGGGCATTGTTTTGCTGCCCACCTGTGTTACTTTGTTTTATATCATATACGCTCACAAAAATAAAGGTTCTTCAGTGGTTCTTCCTTTAAATAGTTTTTTTAAACTGTTATATTATATTTTAGCATGTCCTGATTTCTGTTTTTTTTTTTTCTCAGATTTGTATGCAACATGACATCATAACTTTTGCGTAACATACACGCCACTTTCGAGTCAAGTGTCGTGTTATCTCTACGCATTTTGAGCTATCCGTGTGTATGCGTGTATGTCTACGCCATTAATGTCCAAGTGATTCCGTGTGTTTGTACACGCCGTCAAATGTCCGATCGAAACGAACAAAATGTAGATCTACATCTGGTCTTTTTTTTTTCCTAGGATGGTAGGGGAACACTCATAAATGCCATTAACCCCAGTGACGGGTAGGTTTAGGGACGGGGTTGAGGTAAGTCATATATTTATATATACAGTAATAACGGTAAGTCAACGGCGTTCATAAACACGCTGAAAAGCGATTATGCGTGTTGATAGCACGCCAAAAATGGAAATACGAATTGGCCTGTTATACACACGCTACTTCATGAGATCAGTCTGAACGGTTTCTAGGTTGATACACCAGTACATGGTGTTTTCTGAAGATATACAATAAAAGGTTATTAAAAACAATATTCAATGGTTCTTTATGTTCAGCAAAGAATCATGAACCCTTTTCACTCATTTATAGGGTTGTTTAGTCTCTGTATACTTCTTTGAGGTTAAAACATTCTTAATGTTACACTTTATAGGTTCTTCAGACCAACATATTGTTTTGTGGGTTCTTTTACTGTACGATTTTCTGAAGAACAGAATAATTTTTTAGTTCAAGAATCAACGATATTTTGTCACTAAATTAGGTTTTTAAAATTTTATTACAAAAGTTCTTGGCTTTCTGAAGAATCAAATGTTTATAAAGTTCTGTGGCGTTAACCTGTAAAAAAGTGTTCTAATTTTGATCTATTTTTAAAGGTGTACATACGTTAAGTAAAGGTCAAGACCACTTGAAAGAGCCAATGTTGGTAAGACACAGACTGCTTTGTTGTCCTTGTTTCTGCCAACGTCAGCACCACTGTCCTTCAGAAACCCTTTCTAGGCTCTCTAAAAGTCATCGCTCCACTGGGCCTGGCATTCGAAGATGAGAAGAATTTTATAACACACAAGTATTTCTCAGAGCCCATCCTGAGCTAAATATCATGTGCATCTAATCTAGCCTCTCTTTTAAGTGGTTTTGTTCCTGCATAGGTTCAGGCAGGGGTTTGGTTGAGAGCAGATGGCCTGTTCACAAGCCCTTCAGCGCAGTCCCGTGCATGTGTGTGTGTGTGTTTCTTTCTCCATCCCTGCACTGCACAAAGCTCCTGTTTGTTCTCCATTATATTGGTGTGCCTTTGGCATTCCTGGAGAACAGGCCGGTGCCCAGGCAGCCAGTCTCTCAGCACTGTGTAAAACCCCTTCGGCTCAGAGCACCTGCGGTCCCAGTCCTTTCTATCTTCTTTCACGGTCTACACCTCAACGTATAACTGTTTGATAGTCATCGTTACTCATTAACTCAACCGCCTCCATTATTCCCCAGGAAAAACACAACAAGGGTTGACAATGTTCTTGACCTGATTCTCCGTAAGTGTGTGTGATGCTTGAACTTTTACATGACACCCTCACATCTACAGACCCTCTGTTTGATAACACCGGCCATTAGGGAAAGATAAGGAGGGGTTTGGAAGTAGCTCCACTAATTTTAAGTGTAGGCTGCAGCCCAAAGACAAAACTGCAGTTAGTTAACGTTGCAAGCTAACTAAGTCCAAATTATGTTCTTTTATCAGGGAAAGGTCATAAACAGTTTAAGTGAACCCCATATTTCATTTACATAAATGGCTTCATTAGCATTCTGTCAGTTTATTCAATGTCCATGTCTTGTGTGCATGGCTAAAAACTAAATCTCAAATGCTTTTTTAAAAAATCTTGACATCGTTTTACCTTAAACAGACACAAACTGTAAACTACATTTTACATGTATCTTTATTTGTCGAGACCGGATATTTAATTGATAATGAACATTTCCCCTATTTTTATATGTAGATTAACTTTGCCATTTAACAATAATTTTAAATTAATCTTTAAAAATACTAATAAATTAATAATTGTGACAGCTAATTCACTTGTAGTATTTAAAACACTTTGATTATTTAATGTAAATCTTTTATATTTAATCTGATTTTCAAATCACATGCATATACTGTGTGTGTGTATATATATATAGTCTGGTTTTATAATTATCAGATTTTTTGTGTTTTGTTATGCATGCACCACCCTCAAAGTTTTATCAGACCTCTGATAACACTTCTCCCCTTTGACTTGCAGTTAATGAACTTTAGTCATGCACCCTATTATTTTCAATCCAACTCATAAAATTTGAAATACCAGTCGTACTTTAGTCTCAATCGTATCTGGAGTTTGCTTTCAGATATTGCTAGATTATTAGTAGGCCTACTCCAGATATTAGAATCACACCGTAGGCAGTTAAAGTTAAAGTCCCTTTGGGTATTGGCTTTGAGTATAACGGCTGCCCCTCTCTGTATCAGCTGAAGCTACGCCACATGTGGCTGACAAACATTTTACACGTTCTTACCTGTTCTGACGACTTGAGCTTTAGTGTTATCCCTGTTCCAGTGATTCTTCTTTTATCTTCTCATCACTTCACCTCCCTAAGGACACAAATGCATTATCAGCTCAGGAGCTGTCAGCAATCCTCTTGATAATGCAATGTCCTCCTTTTAGGAGTCTTTTAAAAGTGGAGCTGAACGCAGGTGGGCTGCCGATGCCTGTCGAGCTCCTTCTCTGTGTCTCGTGTCCACTCTCACCTGCCTCAATTTATCCACCCTCTCTCAGCACTCGCTATGGAAATGACATTGATAGGCAGGAACAATAACACGGCCTTGAGGGAGTGCCAGAGACGGGGGAGGAGGAGGGCTGGGAAGAAAGAAAGCATATTCATAGTATAATGAATATGCTTTCCTAATAAATAATTGAACATTTCAAGTAGACACTCTTAAGTTAGCATTTTAGCTTCACACATGAGACCATAATCGGCAAACATGCTTCAGAAAGTGTGTCAATAACTTGGGCTGCTCATTAGAATGCATGAAGACACAGTTAGTAGTTTTTCATGTCGATCCAGTCAATGTGCACACAAAAAAGCTTCAATATCAGTGCCAAAGCGAACATTGTAGCCTTAGAAAAGGCCAACACACGAATGGACGAATGGTCATCTACGCCTAGCCTAATAGCGCCTCATTTTTGTTTAGGTTTTGTATCATTAACTCATTGCTAAGATAATCACATTCGTGAATTAAGCTTGTAAAAGCTTCTTGATTTGAGTCGTACTGTCTTTAAAATTCTCTGGAAACTGGATAGCATTAGATAAACAGTATCATTTACAGCCACTTGTCTTGACTGTTATAGGGAAGAGATGAAAACATTGATAATGTATCATAAAATGGAGCTGTTTGTTGGTTTTACCTGTACATGATGACCCTCTGGTTATAGGCACAAGCACAAATATCTCTCTATGGCAAAAAAAAAAGGACTGGTTCAGTTCATGTTTAGTCTGAGGTTTCACAGAATTTTGCTTAGAAAAGAAAAACTGAATTAGATAAAAACAATAGGCCTACATTCAGTTTGACCCATAGGAAGCCAGGCAGTTAATGTGAGATGGCAATGATAAAAAACAATCACGTCACAAACATCGAAAGAATAATCAATTCAGTAATGTGCTCTTTAATGCGATTCAACCTGTACATGTAAACAGACAATGAAAACAAAGTACCTATAGTGAGCCAAACTGATGGTAATCTGTTGATCTAATATAACCTAATCCTCAATAGTCAATATCAAGTCCTCCACTTCCAGACGCTTGTCATTCCTCTGCATCTCATTCCGCAGGAATGTGGAGAATGCATGGCCGAAACTTCTCGGAAGGTCTCACATGAACACACAACAATGCTTGCCCAATTACCCGTGAAACACTGATGGGGCTAAATAAAGGCATTTGGGACTCTTTAACTGACTTCATGTCAGTGATAAATGACATCAACTCCTTATGAGGCAAAGCAAAATAACAACAAAACAAAATCACACTATTTGTAGTGGAATGTTCTTATTTCAATATTCAGTCAAATGGAACTCAGGTTGTTGTGGATTAATATGGTTTAGTTATCCAATTATTAATTCTATTTTTTTTTCAGAAAGTATAACTCTCTCTTTACTATCATGATACTGAATAATGTGATAAGATGTAGTAGAAAGTCTAAAAATAGCACAAAAATAGCAATTATATATAAAAATGGTAAATTCTGAGCTGTTTAATACAGCTAATATGATTTCTTTTTTAATATAAATAAATAAAAAATAATGTTACTTCAATGGCTGTTAACATTTAGTGCTCTTATTCTTTTAGAAATAGAAACATTTGGGAAATCCTCCCCTTAGAGTAATTAATTTCACAATTAATAACCAAAACGTGTTATATTTTCCGAAAGGTATATGGTTACGGTCACTGTTGTCAAAATGTTTGTGCACTGGCATGTCTCATGATCCACATAATAATACAGAGTAGGCCAATCTGATAATATGGAGAGAACATTATATGGAGCACAAGTTCACCAGTGTCAACCACCTAAAAGATTACAGTATACGGTTGGAAAAGGTGGAAGTACTGGCTCTCTGTCATGCATGTGAATGTGAGTCTAACCAACAAGAGCATGTGGCTCGACAGCTTCAGAGTCGGGGGAGTGTGTGGGTGTGTGTGTGTGTGTGTGTGTGTGTGTGTGTGTGTGTGTGGCATCTTACCTGTATCTTTACTGGAACAATACAACTAACGGCTGTCACCCTACCCCACACTAACACGGAAACAACTCATAATTATGGATGCCAATCAAGATTTCTGTTAAGATTCCCTTGATATCCTGACAGCAGAGGACAGGTACGACTGCTTTTATCATCAGACAACCAACTGCAAGTCTCCTAGCCAGAAATGTGTGAGGGTGAGGACTGCTGTGTCCTTTCCAGGGCTAGTTTGACGAAAACTAAAAATGCACAGACAAAAATAAAATGTTTAATTGGATGCCATCAAAACACTAAAAAAAATAGTTCAGGGTTGAAGTTATATATTTATGGCATGCTAAATGGGAATAGTCACGTTTTGCCACATGCACTTTGGCCTATGTCTAGTGTGGCCAATTAAGCCATAAACCTTACTTTTATTCAATGTGTTGTTCGAATTGTATATTAATCAATTTGTATTATTTTGATCCACAAAATTAATGTAACTATCAATTTTTGTGGTCGTTTTTGGTGTGGTTAATGTATTATTATCCACATGTGCACCTGGAGCGATTTCAGCATTTACATTAACCAGCTTTACACCCAAAGTTTATTCAAATTAAAATCACATCTGAAGTTAAAGACCAAATTCAAGCAAAGGAGGAATTAGTATCCATTTCTGGCACATATGTACTGTAAAACAGCAAAGAGATGATTATAATGCTCATTATAGATCCTGAATAGTTCTACAACGGAAAAGTAGTTCTTACTGCAGCAATTCTGCTTTTATCTTTCTTTGGATTAATAATTATTATCTTTAGCGACCTGCATTTTCAGTTCCATAAACTCCATAGTTTTCAAAAATTCCTTGCAAACTGGTTTCGTAAGCTTCACAAGGATAGACACCACAAATGACTTTTAAAGAGGTGGTAGAACCTGAAATATCTCGGTTGTGGGTTCAAACCATGCAAGGGATCACAATCCGTCCCTGAGAAAAACTTGAGTGGGCCTTAAAGAAGTGCAAATAAGCAGAATCAATTGAAATAAAAATAAAATCTCTGTCTGAGGTTTAATAGGCTATCAAAATGTCTGTGCAATATGAGGACAGAATATAGCTGAATGGCTGTTAGATTAAATACAGATCTCTTTATACTGCATATACCTTCACAGTCCATTTGAACTGAATCACTGTTTAAAGTTTAACAGTTGCACATTTGAAATATCGAATGCATTTATAATATATGGAGTCACTTGGTTCACTTCTGACCCTGATTTAGGAAGTCCATTTGCATAAAACATTTTGGTTAATGAATCAAGACCTTGGAGTTGGGCTGTGCAGCACATCTTTCACAATTTTAGAGCAAGTGCATAACCAGCCAGTGTTCAAAACTCTCTGCTATCTGTACACAAAAAGGAGGCATGGCTAGTATAAACAATATTGTGTATGAGTATGTTGGAGGTGGAGATTAACAGCCTTTTCTCACAGCACTTGATATAATTAAACTTATTCATTTGATGGCAGATCCGGAAAGGTACAATCGATTCACCCGTTGTAAAATGCAAAAGACTTTGGACTGATAGTTTGGAAAAAGAGACTGTAACCGGGCCCATACGAAAACAAAAATATATATCTGAAGGGCTTTAAAGTCACGCAATGCTGATGTTGTTAACATTAACAATTTGACAACAAAGTACAATTTGCACAGTTTGAAGTGATTTGATGAGCGATCGTAAGATTTAATCAGTGCAATTTACTGCAATGCTTTTTTTCAGTTAGTTGGTCAGTACAAAAGTGGATGTTTCTTATTCAGATTACAATTTAGGGTGAAAATTATTATGTTGGTCATACATGCAAAAAGTGTAATCTGTGACAGTATCCACACCGGCGCGGCGACTGACAGCCGCACATTCTCCTCGCAACATGACATCATGACTTTTGCGTAAACATAGGCCTACACTCCACTTTTTATCTACAAATTTTCAGCTATCCGCGTGTATGTGTGTATGTCTACGCCGTGTAATGTCCTAGTGATTCCAACTGTATGTACACGCAGTTAAATGTCTGAGCGAAACGAAGCAATATGTAGATCTACATCTGGGGAGCGATATTTTTTTTCCTAGGATGTAACTTAGGGTAAGACTCGTAAATGCTATTAACCCGGGTAGGTTTAGGGACGTGGTTGGGGTAGGTCCTATATTTACATATACAGTAATGTAACGTTAAGTCAACGGCGTTCATAAACACACTGAAAAGCGATTATGCGTGTTGATAGCACGCCAAAAATGAAAATACGAATTGGCGTGTCATACATACGCCATTTCATGCACGCTGTGCCGTGTCAGATTCACGTAAAGTTGATAATTCCGCGAATAAGTGCAATTGCAGATTACGAACAGAGATGGCGACAAAGGGGAAAAACTGTGGACTGCAACTTTAATGTAGGTTCAAATTCATAATTAACCTATATTGCAACTAAAGCAATGCTGACAACCCAGCAAACAGGGAATGTCCACACAACTGGATCTGGTGAATATTTTTCCAATAACTTTAGTAGAACAAAGTAGATTTATCTGGTTTCAAATGTTGTGATTATTCCTTGATCAAATTAATTTTAAAAGGTTCTTATCATGGTGAGATATCATCTGGGCACTGGCTTTACCAGTGGGCCTATTTGCATGTTTTTGTTTGTTCTTTCATGTTCAGTTTTCACTAGACCAGTGCTATATTCAAGCTATGTCCATGAAAACGAGATGAACCGGTTTGAGTGCAGGTGTCGTTCAGTCATGTCTGGGGGAAAAGCAATAGTGCTCTGTGAATTAGTTTAGCGTCGATATCACTCACCTGCTGACAAATAAATATGTTATATTTAATCAAATGAGTATTTGGCAAGAGGCTAAACATGTGATGTGAAGAAAAATAAACAAATAGTAGGCCTACAGAGATTGATTTAGTGTATCTATGATCCACACCCGTCAGCAGACAGATGGCTTTCTCAGTTGAACAACACTCGCAGTCAGGGCGCCCTCTGTCGGCCATACAGCATTGATGCAATCAATGACTAATGCAGAA